CACACACACACACACACACACACACACACACACACACACACACACACACACAATGTGTCTATGGGTGTATCAGCATGTGTGAAAGCTTCTGGTTTCCATTCAAATCATTCACCACGTACAATGGATATCTCAAAACCTGAAATGAGATTTATATTAATCAGACTCAAGTGACTGAAAGAGACCAGGAGCTGACCTGCTCTATTCTCAGGTGGGAATGAGATCAAAGCCAGTTCAAAGATGAATCATCTTATCTCTTACAAATACTGCGGGAAATACACAACTGCGAATTACAGGATAATTTTCACAGGAGGCAGAATGCAGTGAAGAGATGGTACCAGAGGTTAGTTTGCATGGAAATGCGAGAGAGAAAATCACTAGGTGGGACGTAGAGAAAATAAGAGGCTTAAAAAAAACACGGGAGTAGAAACTTTCATCAATGAATGTCTGGTTAAACTGCAGGACAATTCCAGCAGATTTTGCTGCTACAGACTTTAAATTATATATGAAGATGGACAAGATTACGGCTGTGCAGAAAAGAAGCCAAATCACCTCGATCGCCTCCTGGTAAATTGGAATACTTTGGCTTTACTTTTGGAGGTAAGCGGAGACATGTTGTCAATTTTTATTTTAGCCAATTACTCTTTTCCTATCCCACTGTTCATCTTGCTCAAAGACACTTCAGGATGTCAACTCAAGGAGCTAAAAATCAAACCTCCGACCAGGCTAGTGGATGGCTAGTGGCGGCTGCGGCTCAGGAGGTAGAGCCTACAGTCACAGAGAAGGAATTGGGCATTTTAAAAATTCACTTCACTACTAACTATAGCAGCAGGGAAAGACAGTGACAGAAATGAGGTGATTGGTTGGTCCTCAGTAATAGACTGACAATTGAAACACTTCATTGTCCATAGCAATGAATACTGCAGCACACAAAGCCCCAGAAAACCTGTTTTTCTCAATTGACTTATTACGAGGAATGATAACAATAACAGATTTGTGCTTTTCTGCTTTTGATCTGACCTTTTCTCTTTGGATTGAAGTGGACAGGATTCATCTTAAAAACTGAACATCAGTTATAGGAGCTTGGCAGCATGTCAAAGCAACACTATGCAACATTTTGTTCATGGTGATTAAAATACCACTTTTAAATATGAGTTTGTTGGTTCAGTGACTTGGAATAGGGAGAATGGTCCTGCTTTCATTCCCACTCCTCACCCTGAGAGTCTGTTCTTGTTCCATGTATCTTTGGTGAGTGGGTACGATCTCCTGTGGGAAGTGAAAGTCACAGCTTGTTTTGTCAGAGTCAGGTCCAGCAAGTTTGAGTAATGCTGAACGGTAGATCAGCTAAAAAGACTAAGAAACCACTTAGCGTCAGCAGTAATGTGGGCGTTGTACCAGAATGGCGAGGGACATTCTGGAATACCTCACTTGCTAAGCTAAAGATACTGGATGGATGGATGGATGTGTTTATCTCGAATATACTCAGCGAGGAAACTTTAAACAAATTCTAAATTCTGAATAGGGTTTGGTGGATTTGTTACATCATCAGCTTTTTTGCTTCAGGAAGCAGGGGATCATGGGTAATACCCACCAATCAGTATAGTGTTTCAGTTGCATATATAGGTTTTAGTTTTTCTCTACATGAAAACCAGGGATTCACTCTGACATCAAGCCCAACAGAATCAATTTGTGGCCAGAGAGGGCGCTGTTGTTCAGTTACAGTTACATGAAGTGTTGCTTAAATGAAGAAATTAGGAAGTTCCTGTATCGTCAGTAAAAACACAACATACCCTGATGAAGCAGATCAGCTCCATCTTTTGTTATTATCCTCTTAATGAATGCTTGTCCCCCTAAACTTCAACTTCAGCTTTAAAAACTGCACACAGAGTAATTTTACTGGACTTCCTCTCCATTCCCTAGCACACTCGGGTGAGTAATGCAAAGGTGTATTATTTTCACATAATTCAAATTAACTTCCCCCCATACTGGCATGCAGGTGAAATACTGTATGTATTTATTTAGTGGCACACTGCTGCCCCTGGGCTCATATATATCCTTGGTGAATACTCTGTTCATTTAAAATACTGCACAGAAAAGCAGTACTATATGTTCCCAATGTTAATTTGAAGTAGGTTTAGTGAATAAATCCCAATGATTGTCCATATTATCTGCTTACAACTTCAACTTCTGGGGGAAAAAAGTTGTACAACACTGGTCTCATGGTTTATTTATAAAACCTTTTAACTGTAAACCAAGAAGCCTTCTGATGCCGGTGGTTCACACGAAGGACACAAAAGTAAATATCAGAAAATGACTAAATACTCAATTCAACAAAAAGAATATTTAATGAACT